AAAAGCAATTAGAATAGTCAAAAAGTGCACAGTATTTATACAGCACAAAGTAATTTCTTATCCTTCCAATGTGATGAAACAATGGAAACTGAAAATCTGGTGGCAATAAGTTTTTTGCCTGGCAAATATTTGCATTGACAACACTGTATTTATTATCACAGAAGAATTCTATTTGTAGATATTGTATCAAAAGTCATTCTAAGTTTTACACCATAATAAGTGGAGTTATTCTAGAACTGCAGGATACTTTGTCAAAAGCTTTCACAGAATCATTTAGCTTGGAAAAGAGCTCTAAGATGGAGTCCAACCTTTGACCAACCATCACACTCTGAAGCAGACCATCAGTGCCACATCCAGTGGCCTCTTGAGCATGTCCAGGAATGGCAATTCCAGCATCTCCCTGGGCAGCCTGCCCTGATGTTTAACAACCCTTTCTGTGAAGAAACCCTTCCTGAGAATTCCCTTCTGGAATGTGAAAATATTCTCCTACCATAAACTGACAAAGCTGGGCACAGAGTCCCAACAGCAGCCCAAATTCATTTAGAGGTAAGATTTTAAAAGGTTGGTTGTTCAGAGCATCAAAAACATGAAGCACCCACCCATCACTAAGTTCTGTTCAATACCGAGCACTGAGAGCTTTGGAAAATCCGGCCCTGTACGTGTGCAGAACATTAATTCGGTCACAAATGTTGTGTAATTGGAAGGATCAGTCAATCCCCTGCGGGCATCCCGTGCCCCGGCCCCGCTGCAGAGCGCGGATTAAATCCCACAGCAGTGGGGCTGTCATTGCTAAATGCAGCCTCTAGAGGACAGGAGCAGCCCAGCACTTTTCTAAGCGGTTCAAACACAGATTAAAACCGTTTCAAAATGTATGACTTTACAGTCTGAATTTATATGGAAAAGCCAAATAAACAGCCAGTGATTTTTAGTGCAGAATACTTTATCTGCTATCTTCTTAATGTCCTTAATATGACATCATTCATAGAAACTGAATCCCAAGATATTTTGGAGTATTACTATGATCCATACAATAAAATTCTAATAATTAAAAGTAGGAAATCTATCAGTAAAATATATTTTTTCATTTTCATTTTATAAAACATGTTTTGGTTATACAGACAAGAGAATGCCCCAGCATCTAGAAATTGTGGTCAGGCACTTAAAACCTTAGAAGTAATAAAATGTCATCGACCAGTAAAATAAAAATTCAGTTCTAAGAGAGCAAGAAAGGATCAGAGAAAAAGAAGGTACAATAATTGAGTTGATGCAAGGTTATGGATTTTTTAAAAGGTCACAATGAGATAATGAGTTTGTAACACATGCAATTTAAAAACTGCAAAGTCCCAAAATGTCATAGTGATTAATAACAAGACTAATGACATAGATAATTTTTAATGAAGGGGACTATCTTATACCACCTGCCTATTTCTGTCCTTCAAGCCATCCTAGTGGCAGAGGAAAACCTGGTTTAGGAGCTAGGAGAAAAAAATCCTAGAACATAAATGCAGAAAGAAGGAATATTTACTTCTCTTTCAGTCTAGGTGTTGTATCAATTTTACTGCTCACACACATCCTTACAACATCCCAAGCCAGATGACCATGCTAGAAATTCAATATCAAAAGCACCACCTGCACCTGTGTGATTCCACAACAGACTCTGCTCAAGATGCTGAACTTCACACTGATTCACAACATGGATCAAAACACACCTGCAAAATCGATCCTTTCACTGCTTTTTTGTTCTTTTTTTCCTTTTATATTTTAAGGCACAAGCAATGCAGTGCTTATTCTGCCACTCTAATACCAGTCCCACAGCACATCCATGAGATCAAATGTAAAACATACCCAGGGGTATGAAAGTCACTGGCAATCTCACCCAGCTACACCCAAGCCCATATTCCTAAGCACTTTTATCATGTTCTTGCCTCCTTGCTTAAAGAGTGTCCTGCAAAAAACAGGTATTAAAAGAAATCCAATTTATTGCTGTTTCTAAACTCAACAAGTACATGATCAATTTTCCATTTGCTAGTTAATCTAAGAAAGCAAAACTTCAGTGGTAACAGTGGGCCATGCAAGGCAGCACTTCACTCTTCCTGGGATTCTCCTGAAAATGCTGCTGGCCACCGATATCACCTTTGGGTGCCCACAACAGACAGACTGGTTTCCATGTTTTCTGTGTAGCCCTTTCCCCTCATGCCACACAAGTCCAGGCACTATTCCCCCACAAAGGAATCTAGAACTGAAGGCTGTTCAGCAGCCCTGGTTTCCTCTCCCTCACCAACAGCCCTGTTTGCCCACTGTGACCACAAGAGCTCCCTCTTGAAGCAATCAGGTGGGATCCTTATGCCCCCCAAGAGGTTGAACAGCCCCAGCTCCCCCTCATATAATGATTATTATACTTTGTCTTTTTACTCTTTCATTATCAAATACATAAGATATTATAAATTGCTCATATAAAATAACAAAATGTGATTTTGATTCAAGATGAATCCATTAACCAAATAGCAGGACATGAAATAATAATTCAGGCCAATCACTATAGCTCCAAAGTATTTTTAAAAATAAAATACCTTATATTTCCCATCCAATAATGTAAGTCCTTTAAAATAAAGGACAAAGATCATCAATCTAACAATTAATAATGGAAACTAAATCAATGTAAGGAATGAAAGAGCAGGGCTGGATTCCAGCATGCAGGGTGGCCTCCCCACTGCTGTTGCTGCACAGGAAACACAACTGTCACATCCTTTGCCAAGGCAGCCCTGCATATTGCCAGGACAAGACAAACACCCTGTGAAGTCCAGACTAACACTTTTCAAGGTGGAAAAAAATCCAGCTGCATTTGAGAAAGTGATGGGCACAATTTAAACCCATGCTGGCCAAAACAGGTATAAATGTAAAGTGAGAGGCTCTTTTTTGACTTGCTGATTCCTTTACTCTGGGAAGAACAAGCTAAGCCAAATGAAGCAAATAATGCAACTCTGCTTTTCAATTCTTTCCCCCTTAGCACTGCGTGGGACACTCCTAGCACCTCACACTAAAGATCCTGCTGGTAACATTTGCTAATGGAGAGCAGGATACCAGGGCTGGTGCTATTATTATTCTGCTACTATTCTACTGCTTCTCTTCAATTGCTTTGTCAGACTTCCGTCACTTGAGCCAAGTTCCATTATAGCAGACTTTAGGTGTATTTAGGTATTTGCCAGATAATAGAGTAAGGTTCTTAAGCAATCAATCTGTACAGATTAGTCTAATCTGCTGCTGCTGGAAACTTTGTTTCCAGAAGCAAAGTAGACAATAGTTTCAGATTACCTGCAGTAAGGTTAAGCTATGGGCAATATACGTTTTGAGGTGTGAAGAAAAACAAAATAAAAGAATGCATTCCCAATATTGTTTTTGCCCTTACCAGATCAGGAAGGTATCTGAATTGAGATTTCAATTTCTCTAAAAACTATTCCAAATGGATCTGGCTCAATTTAAATTGCTTTACTTGTGGTTCTCTTAAGTATTTTGGAATGCAGGATTACAACAGAATTTGGTTAGGAATGTTATTTCTCAAATCAAATAAAGCACCAAAAAAATGTTTCAATATCAGATAAATTTTGTTATTTCCATATTAAAATAAGATTTTCAGGAGCAAAGCCAAACAATTAAAGATTTTTAGGGTTCTGCATAAAAGTCAAGGCAATGAGCCAATGAAGATAAAAACACGGAAGGGCCAATATCTGTCACCCAGTTCTAAAGTAGTGCAGTTTTTCAGTGATATTTTTCAGAAAATATAGAAATGGTTTTTATTTAATCTCTTGTAGCTCAAACTCTAATTCAAAATAGTAAGTAAGGACTGTCAGATCATCCCTTCCTTTAGCTTTTCGTAGTATGAGACTACATAAAATGATTTTTTCTATCACCCTATTTTATCAACTTACCTTTCATCCTATTGGACAACAGCTATGGATACAAGCATGAAGAAAGGAAGAGCAATATTTTGTCTGTTCAGCAGATAATGTAGAAGTTATGTTGAGCAAGAAACACAGGCTGGAGTCTCACTGAAGGTCACCAGCACATGAGGCACGTGCTTAGAGCACTGCTGAACAAAGAGCAGCTTCAACCTGTACTTAAAATGGTTCCCTTCATTGTGCCCATGAAGAAAGACTTGAGGGGTTTTTTTGGTATATGGCTCTCCTTGACTTCAGGTTCAATATCAAATATGAGGATAATTAACTTTCATGAACTGTTTGATAAAAATGAATTCAACACCCTAAAATTAATGGCAATGATCTGGATATCTGGTCTGGCCCCACTGATCTGATCCCATAAAATGCTACATTCTGTCATTAAAAGATAATAGGGCAATTTCCATAACTGGAACAGTTATATTGACAAGAGAGGAGATAACCAAGTTAGAGAATTAAATAGGCAAATAACCTAAATTAATTAAAATTACATAAAAAGATTATAATTGTCAGCTTCTTTTAACTGAGCAATGGTTAAAACTGAAGTCAGTTGAATATTAGTCCTTCCATTGGAGACACCTTTTTCTAAAAATTATCTTATTTATGAAAACTATCATATTCTTTATAAATGAGCTATTTAAACTGTAATGCAACAAACTGTTTCCTGTAGCAAAATCTATTTTGCATACAGTTTATTTCAGACTTGAAACAGACTTCTTTTAAAACCATAAAGCTTGTCAAGTCATCCGCAGTAATTCATAGTAGCTGAAATTCTTGTGCAACCTAGGGTTTGAATTGTTTTAAACTGCAAAAATATCTCAAAATCTCTCAAAATACTTACTCAAGTATATTAAGGAAAAGTTCACTTTTTCCACAAAAAGTAGATTAGAATAAAACTTCAAGTATTTACAGTTTATTTGAATGAAAATTATAATAAACTTTCAAATCTGGGCATAAAATCATAATTACTATATCATTACTTAATACAGGTTATGAACAATTCTTCATTTTCTGCAGCAGTACTGTAACAGCAAACCATCCTTCCTTCTACTCTAGCAGGCTGGAGGTGAAAGTATTTTTCACCATTAGAAACTGAGATTCTCTGTGTGATCTTTTCAGCTTTGCACGGCGGTTCTGAAACCAGATCTAAAATGGAAAGAGAAGGGATGCTTTTCAGAAACACAGCAGTGGAAGCAGAAGAATATTTGAAACTTAAAAGTATTCACACAGTATGACAATATTTTGTTTGATGACAGCAGTTAGCAAGTTCCATATAAATTTAAAATCTGCAGATGCCTGTAATTTTAACACCACAGACAAAGCAAATAATATCCCCAGGTTAACTGGAAAATGAGATCAGCTTCACTGTAATTAATATAAAAACTGGTATTAAATTCAGTGACAGTATCAGATCCTGGAAGATCGTGAACATCTGGAATTCACACATGTCTTATGGTGCTATTTCTTCAGCTGCTTAACTATTTGCAGCATCAAGTTTCTCATCAAGCCCAATACAATACTTGCAACAAAAGCTTGATAAAAAACAAAGCAAAGCCCAAATTCTTATGTTTACAGTATGCTTGTTATCACATTGAATTACCTGGAAATCAATAATTAACATTCCTGAATAGATTTTGCTTTTGGCCAGAGAAAGACATGGTTCAAACACTGGTTTAACACACCTATGCTCTGCTGGCAGTCTCACAAACTATGTCCATACCTGTTTCAAATTTATTTTTCAAATATGATGACAAGAAAAACATAAAAATTATTTTAAGGAAATTATCAAGTTCTGTAGATAATAACTAGAGATTAACAGAGCAGATATTGTGGAACTATTATAGTGATTAATTCCTCATCAGTGCTATGGAAGGCTTTAGATTTCAGAAGGAATTCAATGGTTTCCATTTCACAAATCATTGAAGGCATGTTTTTTGTATATACATTGGTTTAAATTGAGAGTATTAAATTCTCATTACTGCTGTCAAACCACTTATGTATATAGGCAGAGAGTACATATAGCTGGAATTACAGAAAAGTTCAAATAAATCTTTAATTACCTGGATCCTGTCTTCATCTAAATCTAATTTGCGAGCTAACTCTTCTCTAATATCAATGCCAGGGTAGGAGTTCATTTTAAAAACATTTTCCAAGACTTCAATCTGAGGAGATTAAAACACACTTGTTGAATAGTTAACACTATGTTCATAGCAGTAATACATTAAATAAATAAAATAAATAAAATAACAGCTTAGTTTGTTCAACAAGAGACTTCTGATCAGTGTTTGCACAATGATTCCGTGCATAAACACAGATCTGCTGAAATTAGCAACATTCCTGTTAATTTACAGCAGTTCCTGATTACATTTCTCTCTGCAGAGGTACATCACACTGAACTTAGCAGCTGCTAGAGGTACCCTCCAACATTTTACTCAACTACATGGTTACTCATCTGTTAAATGCTAAGGAAAGCCCTACCTGGTTTCTAGTGAATGCAGTTCTTGGTCTTCTACCCCGGTACCAGCTCAATTCTCGTTTGAAAGACAGCCTTTCAGTGACTGAAAAATATTTTTCACATTTCAAAACGTTTTCCTCTTGCACTGGATCACTTCTAGCATGAAATAATGGATTTTCATAGCAAACAACAGGGATTTGCAGATGGGGATTACTGTCATCACCTAAAACTAGAAAGAGCAAGAAAGGGAGACCTTCAGTTTACTGGTTTGTAGTAGAAACATGCCAGTATTTTTAAGGGGTAAAAGCTTGAGGTTATGAAACAGACTGACTTACCCAAGCTGGTGCATGCATCCATCCAGGGTCTGTGAGGTTTCCCAGCTGGAATGCCATCTTTTTTCTGCTCCAGCCCCAAGATACTCTCAATTGAGAAGGAGCAGTGCGTGGTTTTGCTGTCTCCAAAGCCGGGCACCTTGTGGCGCTGCGGAGAGGCCGCCGTGGCGGCAGCACAGAGCGAGGGAGCGGCCATAGCTTCGCCCTCAGCCAGCATAGCAGGGGCACTGCACTTGCATTTCTCCACAAGGCCCCCTTATAGCTGTGTTGACAAGGGGGTTGGATTTGTAACGTCATTAATTAAAATCTTTTATTAGAAAGTTTTAGCATGTCAATGAAAACTCTCCCACCAAGAGGCACGAGGAGTTAATTGTTTATTTGTTTGCAAGTAATTAGCAACTAATGGTGACACTAGGGGGGCCACCAAGGGGGACAAAAAGTGTTATCTCTCCTAACCAGAGCATCGACTTCACTTTCTCAAAAGAAGCTGTGCACAAATATAGTACTTCTCTTTTATTTGAAATCATTAATGTATAAAATCAGTTTTTTAAAAAACTTTATACTCTAATGGACTCCACTTACCTAAACATAGAAGCATGATAGGAAACCAGTCAAGTAATAAGTAATCTCATTTAAGTGAATTTCCTTCCAAGGAAATTTAAAAAATAATCTCTTAATGCTATTAGGGTAATCCCGATGAAAATGCCTCTGTTTTTTCATATGCATATGTAATGGTGAACGTGGTCAATAAAACAACAATAGCTTTTGGCATAAGGCACTGTGCAGTGGGTTGGCAGTGTTGTCAAAGCTCAGTGTAATTGCCTTCCAAGTGCCTGGATTAGTTAATAGGAACAGTTGCACCAACTATTTTAAATAATTCATGCATTCATTTTTCTTATTAAAATAACTTTGTTGCAGCCTTTTTGAAACATACCAGATGTGAAATTTCCCGATAATTCTTCACCACATAAAAGCAAAACTTCACGTAATAGAAGCAGTACACTCACATTTACAGGTTTAAAAGATGCAGAGGTATTCTTCAATTCATTACTATTACATTGGTTGCAGTCAAATTTGTAGCTCAAGTAAAACTTTTTCTCACAAATGTTCTCCCTCCTTGTAGGTTTATAGCAAACAGAAGTATATTTAAATCTTACAGAGCCAACACTTAAAATCACACAAAAAAGTTATGAGTAATGGCAAGAAAGGAGATAAAGGCTTTGTAATAAAGTCTGACAGAATTCTGATTTCATCCATTATAATAAAATACAGACTATGACATTTTTATATTCCAGCTCATCTGTCAGTCACACAGCAGTTTACATCACATGCTCAAAAACAGCTTTTGGTTCAGGCAAAGAAAAGGAGGAATTTCTGTAGAGACACTATAAAATTAAGATTTGTCCAAAAATAACAGGCAAACATGAACACAATATTTTTATTTCAGGTAGAAAAGTTACCCCTCCTTCTGGCCTGACTTTGTGTTGTGCAGTAAGATTGTTGTCAAACCAAGCTATTAAAAGAGTGACAATTCCAGAAGTGATCTTCCCAAGGACACTTCTCCCACATGTCACTGGATCTTCAGGCAGCATGCATCCACCGGCAATGCTGACCTGCAAGATAAGCTCCAGTCACCGTTTATGGACCTTAAGCCCTCTCTTGAAAGCTCTGTTTCATTGTTTTGGCCCATCAGTACCAGCAATGCTACCTTGCAACCCATTTGAAATTACCTATGGACCTTTAACTAATTATCTTGGTAGGGGTAATTAGAGCAACACAGCAAACATTAAAACATTGGGAATCCTAAGTAAGCAATAATAGGAAAAGTCACTGCTCCTTGGATATGCAAATCCAATCCTCTTACAGCACCACATACTTGATGAGGCAGGAAACTAATCACCCTTTCAGACTTTGCACTGTTTTTGCCCAGGGACAGTGGAGTTCATCTCTTTAGGAGATGGGAAGCCTCCACTGGCTGTTTGCACCAGCTGAGGAGACCACACCCAGAGCTCTTGGGGGCTTTGGTCTCAGTTCTGACTCTTGCTGCCTTTTGCTCTTCTCACCCACTGCTGGGTCACCTTTCACTGGAGCCTGGGCACCATTTTCAGCTTTTTAAAAGGATATAAATGGTATATATATCATCGTTCTTCATTACTTATCACACTCCAAAAATTCACCTTTCCCACAACCTCTTTACCCAGTATCTCACCACCTCTGAAGTCATGCTGCATAAAGCTCTCTTTCAAAGATGTTTTTAACATGAATAACAAGCATTATATTCAAAGCCAACTTCAGAATTCCCAAGTTTTTTTAAAGCAAGAATACCTCCCAATGGTAACACCAATTTTCACAAAACAAAAGCAGTTAGCTATTTCTTGGTTGAAGTAAAAGCTCTTTTGACACAGAGAGATTAAGTGAATGCAGGTAAATTCAAGGTTAATCCAAGGTTGCCACTAGCAAAAGTATGAGAAACACTGTATTAAAAAGTGGGAAACACTGCAAATAAAGCCTACCTTATCCACACAGCTACTTTCCCCCTCCAGCAAGGGCAAAATGTTCTCTCCTAAGGGCACACATCTGGAATCCCCTGAAGATGTGTTCACTGCTCTTCTCTCTGTTGACAAAGTGCCAAGTGTTAGTTCCCCACATTTTTAAGGCTTCTTAGCAGATATTTTGCAGAAAAAACAACAACAACAAAACATAAACAGAAACCAACAACCCCCCACCAAAAAAACCCCAAACCAAACAAAAAACCCAACCCCACAAATCAAAAAGCCCAAACAACAACAACAAAAAAAACCCCCTCACACACTAACAAAAGGTCTATGATGCTGAAAACAGTGTAACGCTAAAACCACAATTAGAGGATGCAGAGGCATTCTTCAGTTCATTCCTATTACATTTGTTGCAGTCAAATTTGTGGCTCAAGTAAAACTTTTGGATGCCACTTACAGCTGTGAACACACAAAGCTAACTAAACCCAATCCACTTAAAGTGACCACCTTCCTGAATTCCACTGGGAAAACAATCTTCCAGTACAAAACAAAGTCATTTCTTATTGCTGCTGTAAAGCTTGGTCACAAGTTAACTGTCTCACAACCAGGAAGCACATGCATTTATTGGTCATGAACCAATGTTAATGTCCTGTCACATAGCTGCAGAGACAGCACTTAGTCTTTAAAACACCTTGTAAGATAACCCTGAATTATTATCCTTATTGGCAGGGAAAGGGAGAGGTGCTGTGACTTGCTTCAGTCAGGTGAGTCACCAGCTGAGCTGGCAAATTAATTGACTGAACAGTACTAACTTGGAAATTTCTTCACCACTCCCTACAGGATAAAACAAACCAACACAACAGCAAAAAAACAAAAACAAAAAAACCACCCACCACCCATCAAAAAACCCAGACCAACAAACAAAACAAAAGCTACCTCAAAAATATTTAATTGTTTACGATTTAACACATCAGTACTGGCCTTTATCTGCTTTAAATGGTAAATCATAACCTGATATAACATAAAGAATGGTCTCATAGCAAGACTGCACAATCATTAATCATTTGCTCTGCTGAATGACTTCATGCACTTTCTAATCTGGTTTTGGACTAAGTTCACCTGGTCCCCAAAAAGCAAAACAACAAAGGAATAGGTTTTTGATTTGTTTTGTTTTTTCCCCAGCTAAAAACTATCATCAAGTCTACTGAGACTTGCTCTCATAAACCACCTGCAAGGACGTTGTAGCCAGCTGGGGGTCAGTCTCTTCTCCAGGTAACGAGTGACAGGACCAGAGGAAACAGCCTCAAGCTGTGCCAGGAGATGTTTAGGTTGGATATTGGGAAAAGTTTCTCCATGGGCAGGGTGGCCCTGACAATCACCATCCCTGGAAGTGTTCAAATGTGAGAAACTGGCACTTGGGCACATGGCTTAGTGGTGAACACGGGCTCCTGGATTAATGGTTGGACTCAAGGATCTCAGAGGTCTTTTCCAACCTTAGGGATTCTACAATTCTAAGTAATTTCAGAGCTGAACCAGTTCACAAGTCGAACCAATGATCTGTTTTGATTTCAGTGAGCCCTCACAGTAGCTTTAAGCGTACATAATTTGCCACCAACCTATGGCACCACAATTATTCAGACTAAGAGAGTGGAGATACTAATTTTTAATATCTAATCAGAACCTCTCCTGTCCCAGCGTAAGGCCTCTTGTCGTTTCACTGTAAGCACCGTAGAAGCGACTGGCCTCCTCCTGGGGCCCATCCACATGGCAGGGATAAGAGGAGACTTGCCAAAAGGGATGCTCCAGAAAAGAGGGCCAAAGATACTCCAGAACGGCAGGGACCCAACGGCGCCCCCTTGCTGTGGAGCGGCCCTCAAGGTAATTGTCTGTGAGGAGACCACAACCACCCCCGGAGCACAGACAGGGCTGTGAGGACACTTTGCTTGACAGCCGTGACCGCACTGCCGGGGAACCACCTCAGCAGGGCCCCGGCTGCCTCCGCTGCGCTCCCCACACGGAGCCGCTCCAGGGTATCCGCCGGAGCCTCGGCCCTGAGGGGCCGCGCGCGACCGCCTCATCCCCCGCGCCTGCGCGCGAACGGGCAGGCCCGCCAGCCAATGGGCAGCCGGGTGGGAGGGGAGGGCGGGCCAATGGGGAAGACGGGCGCGCCAATGGGGAAGCCGGGCCCGCCAATGGGGAAGGCGGGCGCGCGGGGGGCGGGACGTCCGGCGCGGAGCGGGCGGGGGTCGGTGCGGGTCGGTCCGGCTGGGCCGGCGCGGGGGCAGCGGAGCCGCGGGGGCTCAGCGCGGTGGCCGCCATGCCCGGCATCGATAAATTGCCCATCGAGGAGACGCTGGAGGACAGCCCACAGGTAAGACAGGTCCGGCGGAGGCCGTATCGGGCCCAGCCCCTGCTGGCGGGCCCAGCGCTGCTTTTCTGTCGTTCCCGGCCCGGGAGAGCCGTGGTGGTGGCGGGAGGGAGGGTGACGCCCCAGCAGCGCGGCGGGGACGCTGCCCGCACGGCCCCGCGGGTTCTGACAGTCTCGGCTCGGGCTCTCCGTCCCGGTCGTGCCCTGCCAACGCCCGCTCGGGGCTCCGCGGCGTCGTCACCCGCTGGCCCCGCCGCCCTCCCGGGAGTGCCGCGGGCCGGGAGCGGGGCCGGGGCTCCGGGCTTGGGTGCTGCGGGTGCTGCGGCACCTCCGGCGGGGCCGTACCGGCACCGC